AGAAGGACAGTCCGCTGACTGGCATCGAACCTACACCTTCCGCGCGACAGTCAAGCGCGGTAATCACTCGGCCACGCGCGCTTTTTTTTGTCCTTTATTGTATTCTGACAACAACACTTGGTCAAAGTGTTGTTGTCAACCCGTCAACCTTGCTTCGGCTGCCACGGTCGGATAAAATTCTTTCAAGGTTACCAGATTATCTAACAGTGGCAACCACTCACACCCGGGACAGTGTATCTTATAAACGTCTCTCAGAGTGCACACATTTTGAACAAAATAACTGTGAACTGGCTGTGCATCATTATCAGCATGCCTTACAGCCATTCGACTCCGCCATATTGCGTGCAGGCCCAGAAGCATCATGTATCATATGGAAGTCCCTCCTCAAAGTCTACAGACAAAAACCGGATTCCATGGGCTGTCAACGGTAGCTTTAACGTCTGCTGGAGAACATTCTAAAAGAAGATGCCATCCCAGCATTCCAGGAAGACGTGCTCTATGGACTCCGGCTTTCTGTACAAAATACATTGTGTCGACCAAGCAACTAACAAGCCCTTCTTTTCCATCCACATTTTAACTGAGAGCGTCCCTGTGTGTAGTTTGAAGAAAAACGTCTTCACAGTCGCTGGGACAACCATTTTTTTTACTCGAGAAAGAACATCTTTCCCTGGGCCCTCCTGATACAGAGATCGGTATATTGGCATTGCAAACAGAAATTTTCTTAAATGTTTTGACAAGCACTTTCTGGGAACTGTCGAGAGATATTCAAATGAAAATCGCGTACCCAAAAACCTTACCGAACGTACAACTTCTTTAAGATAGCCGGTGACAGTGTAACACCCAGCATCAACTGAAGAAACCACAATCTCGGACAGCTCATGAGAAAACACCACTTGAAAAAAGGTCCGTAAAAAATCTTCTGATTTGTCTCTTAGAAATAATAAACGGTTTACGATTTGCCGCAGAAATATATGGCACAAACTAACACCTCCAGAACGAAAAGTGCGAAACAGACAACTTCTGCTGGTTCGCTCCCATCCTGAGTACCACGCCAAGACTGCAAAAATGCGGTGCATTTTTTGTACTTACATGCAACCGAGAACAATGAAGAACCTGCTTGACGTGCCAAATTTTTGCCAAAAGAAATAAATTGCAGACCGTTGCTCTGGCGAACACTGATAATTCACGTCCACCCCACTTGGTTGTTTTTTCTTTAAGCTTTGAAGTTTTTTCGCGCCTGTATTCGTAACTATTACGATAAGATTCCAAAGGCACACCTAGGTACCGAGCGAACTGGCGAGGTTGACCACTTTATGGTCTGAAACAAAACCGGCGCTGATGCCCACTCTCTGTGCCAAAACCCAAAGCACTTCCCCCAATTCACCGAGCTGTTGGTGGCCGCACAAAATTCCTTGGTTATGGCTATTATATTGCTCACACTTTCTGCGTTTTCACAGAACACAGCCACATCATCAGCATACGTGAGAAGTCGTACTTCGCTGGAGTGCAACCTGAAACCTCCCACACTTTCACTCTGGATAATCGTCAAACAAAAGGGATCCAGGAAAATAGAAAACAAAAGCGGCGACAAGGGGCATCACTGCCGAACAGAAGACAACACCGGTATTCTTTCAGACACACTTTTGTTCACTATAAGCTGTGTCGAGCAGTTCTGATACGCCATCCGCATTCCAGCTAGGAGGATGTCACCGACGTTTACATGTTGTAAGATACAAAAAATAACCTCGTGTTATACACGGTCGAACGCTTTTTCAAAGTCGATTTGAAGCATTGCCACTTTGTGAAACATCAAATCGCAACACTGTGAAGCACTACGGGCAACATGAATGTTCGTAACGATACTCTTGCCACGAATATCTCACATCTGATGCGATCCAACGATCGAAGTTATGACTCCTTGCATAAGCCTGGTTAAGACTTTCATGAGGATCTTGTAGTCGACAATCGTTAGCGTGATTGGTTGGTATCCTGACACTGACTGAAGCTCAACACGGTCGTCACTTTTCGGTATTAGAACCGTATACGAGCGCAAAAAGGATAATGGCAAAAGTTGTTTAGTATAGGCCCCCTTAAACACGTAAAATAAAAAAGGGGCGGCTTGGTTGCTAAACATTTTATACAAATCCGCAATTATGCCGTCCGGGCTTGGAAATGTTTTGCTTTTTTAATTCGTCAATCGCTTTATGAATTTCATTCATAATGATCGGCTCTTCTAGTTTTTGCTTTGTCTGCTCCTCTACCGGGGCACTGTTGGAAGAAATCTTTGTTTAAATATGTCTATTTTCGTACTCTTTTTGCTGAGAAGGTTCCTATAATAGTTTATGAACGCCTTTTTTACGCATATTTTATTGCGTGTGACTACACTCTGACAGACAATTACCTCGATTTCCATTCCCCTTCGCATACTTCCTTTCATCATTCAATGCTCTTTTTGTAGGCACCACCCTTACCAATAGTCTTTCGACACGTGCTTTCATTGTAGTCCCTCAGTATCTCTCCGTATCTATTGCCTTTAGTCTACTTTTTATATCTGCTATATCATCTCAAAACAATTCGGGCGTCTGGCATTCAAGGTTAAGTAACTATCCAAGATTAGAACGAAGCTTTTGCTCGTTCTCTTTTTCGATGTGCTTTAGGTTTCGTGCTCTCTCAATTGCGCTCATTTTGATGTCTTGTTTAAAAAGTTCCCACTTCTCTCCCCAGCTAATGCCCTCTAAGAGTTCTTTACCGTCTCATTAAAATCTCGTCTTGCAACAGCTTCGCGTTTAACTTCCATAATTCCTAGCTAAATTTCATTGAATTACTTTTTTTTCCTCCTATATGTACCGAAACTATATAATGATCACTGAACGCGATATGATTGACGTTATAATTCTCGCAGCAAGTAACGAGCTCCAGGGACACGTACACGCTATCCAGTCGCGCATGGCTGGCTCCCTGAAAATGCGCAAATGCGCAAACAGAAGACAGCCCGGGCTTGACGCACATTGTGCAACGTCTGCAAGTCCACACTCGTCTAGTATTTCCCTAAGCAGGTCAGTACTCTGATCATGACACCGCACTGTGCTTACTCTATACTCACTGGCACAGACACAATTAAAATCCCCGAGAACATTTACGTGCCTATCGCACTTCGGATAGTTGCGAACGGATTAAAAAAAAGAACACTTTTCCCGATTTGAATTTGGCACTCGGCCACGCACGCGCTTGCTCGCCGACGCGCGGGGAAATATTTGGACTCAAAAGCGGAGCGTGCTTTTTCGATGTCAGTCGCCAATGCATGATTTTATCATCCTTACTCGTAAAGCATAACAAATAGGCAAATAATCAAATAAAAAAATTGTCGGGTTATTTTGATTTTTTTTAAATTTTTTTGGAGGGTGTGGGGGGGTATTATGTCGTCTGTTTTGCAGTTCCTTGTTGTTACCGCTCCTGTTCTTGGTTCTGCGACTGTCGCCGCCTGCGGAACGCGCGCCGCGTTTTAGCCGAGAAGATCGTGAGCTAATGACGCCGGCCTTCGGCGCCGTATGCTCGTTTGTTGGCGGCAGTTGGCGTCGCGACCACTTGCGCCATCTCTGGTCTCCCGTGCCAAACGGCACCCTATTTTTTGAAGACTGGTGGCTTCGCTGCGTTTTCATAGGAGTTGAGACTTTCTCTTTTTTACTTTTTACTTAGGTAAGTTCGCTCTTCGCAAATTTTATAGAAAAGATGCACCGCCTGTGGGCAACGCTGCACAAAATCGCAGCGTGATAGGTTAAGAAACCTTTTTTTTTGCGGTCGATTTAAAGAGTCTGGCTGCTATTTGGGACACCCTGTAGTACGTGGGACTCTATACTTGGTCTCACTTTAGCATAGACTGTTGTTAGCCACGCATGCCGTTGGGACCGAGGTGTTCGCCATGCAGCCCCAAGTGCAGCCTCAAGCAGCGCCAGGCCAAGGCAGGAACCGCAGGCCGACTCCCGGCAGGAACATCACGAGACGGGAGGGTCTCTTGGGACTCACACTGTTTAATACTATATATACAAGGTATCTATATCGTCCGAGAGCACACATGCGACTACCTGATTGCCCCTTTTGTCGGGTCGCTGTTCAGTACTCTCGCGGCTGGCAGCCAATGGTGGCCGAGCTGCCAACAAACGTCACGTTCAAGCACCACCTCCACTCATCCTCCGATCACGCGCACACACACACGCACACCCAGCAGCGGCGGCCGGGCTTCACCTTCCGTCACCAAGGTGCTGTCTCCCTCGAAAGCCGCGCCGAGAAGGCGACAACAAAGGGTCCACTGTCAGCCCGGCAGACGACGCTGGCCGAGATAGTGCGGATTCCTCTATGAGGCGGCGTTGTGGCACGAGAAAGGGTTTTGCCCGATTATCCGCAAGTGGCGTCCGAAGATAATTCAAACCTGATTCAAACCGAACACATCCTCACGGAGGTCCCGCAGCTGGCGCGCCGTCGCCCGGAATCCTCGCCCGGTAATCCCCCCCCGGTTCCGGCGTTGACTGACCCCGTTTCGGGCCAGCGTTATCGCAGCCAGAAAGAAGGGTCCGGCTCAGCTTCGCGCCTAGGTGTGTCGACATCAACACGGTGGTCCTCCGTAGAAAGCCACGGCATCCCCTTGTCCCCTTTCTCTTCGTTTCCGGTCACAGCTGACCGGAGCCACGTGGCGACGATACTCAAGGCTAGGGTGCCTACATGTTTCCGGAGCGGCGGAAACATGTAGGCACCCTACTCAAGGCGTTCACCAGTGCAGGTCGGGTTAGATAGGAAAGGTCTGCTCCGGGGGCCTTTCGCAACAATACTAATGTCACATTCAATTGGGGCGCACGCAGCACCGAGAAAATGCTGCCCCCAAGGCCGCGCCACCGCGCGGGTGCAGCGCATGACGCACTACCAAGTGAACGCGAAGCCTTCCGCCGTGCAACGCGCTTGGCGCGGTCACTTCAAGGGCAAAACATAAACGGGTGGACCATTGAACAAAATCCGCCGCGAGTGAGGCGGCGGCGCGCGCCATCTAGCGAGAGATGTGACTAACAAATTGTGCTTTAAGCGGTTGATCAAAGCACGTATTTGTTACATCCGAGATTCCATCAAAAGCGTAGAAGAAACACATAAGATACAGAAGAAGGCGTTTTGTTGTACATATGCGATGATATTGACAATAACCGTGCCGTGATATCTATGGTATGCGCGATGGGAATTGCTCTCCCGGATCCCTGAACCAGCGTTGAAACGGGACCTCCCGATCTGCCGGTTTCATTCCCTCGTTTGTCTTGTCCGGGATGGCTGCCTCCGCATTGCCCCAAGGATTGCTTTACGCGATGCTGAACGATACTGAAGACGGTAAGCTGGCATGTATTTTTTTCTTTCATCTTTACAAAAACCGGACACTGAGGAGACAGTCTCCATCTTTGTGTATTGTCCCATATTGGTTTTCCTGTAAAGGTGAACAACAATCAGCTTCTTTATTAAGTATTCTTTAAATTTTTCTTGTAGAAGTGTCCCACCCGTATAGTGAACTTGCTCAGGCCGCTCCTGTGAAGTAACAATAACTCATTGACGCTTCTCATAAAGCATGTTCTGCAATACTGAATCTGAACATAGTACTTTTGCTTGAGGGCAGTTTATCTAGCCAGGTGCCAGACATACAATTTCTCCTCTTTCTAAAGCGAGATAGATTAACGCGGTTTTTTGTTTGCTTACTAGGCTCTTGCATTTTAGTTCCTACCAGAATGGTACACATGCAGAATGTGCTTTAGACCACCATATCTCTGCATCTTCATGTACCTGTTTAGTAGCTACACAAAAAAAGCTGTCGACAAAAGGAGTTGTAAATTCACCCTGCGTTTAATTGCCGATGCAGACTGCTTGGCAGACCCACAGACCCAGAACCTGTCGCAAGAAAACCCTACAAAAATGCAAGGAGGTATGTGGAAACATTATGTGTTGAGACACAGAAGTTTTACTTAACTTTTCTTTTTTGCAGCAGAGTGGACTCCAGGGGAGTCGAAGCTGCTTCTTGACTACTACTCAAAATATTATCCTGAGATAGGGCCAATGAAGAAGTTCAAGACAAAGAAGGCAATGTTTGAACAAATCGCCCTTGACCTGCAATCAGTTTTGGGCATATCACGGACAGCACTACAGTGTGACAACAGATTTAAGACGCTTTTGAAGCGCAAGAAAAACTCTCAAAAAGTGAACAGGACATCAGGAAGTTCACGCTGCACCGTGGAGTTTGAGGAAGAGTTTTCGAGAATCAGAAGTATGGACGACAGCCTGGAACCTGAGGTGAGGCGTGGTGTAAGCTCAGTCATATATAAGGAAACTGGTCGCACCACTGCAGTCGCAGAAACTGACAGCCCCACAGGCTCAGCAGCAGTGGTGGAGCAGATGTCACCAACATCCCCTCCAGATCAGCATCGTGCCGAGACCTCTGCAGAGGCACGGAGGAGAAGGCGGCGGGCTAACCGTGTGAGCAGCACTACCACAAGGCAGCAACAAATGGCAGAGTTTTTCTCACAGATGAAAGAGCTCCACGAGGAGAAGGAGAAGAACAGAGAAAGAAGGCACAAGGAGCACTTGGAAGTGCACAAGCACCACATGGAGCTACTGAAACAAGTCAGGGACGCACTGCAGCAAGATGGTTCGCTGCTGTAACTCTAATGTATTTCTATCACTGGCCCCCATGTGAATAATAAAGAAAAATCACAGTGCATCCTTCTATTTATTGGCTTCTTTTATTCAAGTGTTCCCCAAAGCAATATAAGAGTGCCACCCATCAGTTGTATTGTCCCTCCCATAACTCCTTCAATATTGTAGGTTGTTTCTATAAAATAGAAGGCAATAGGCAAACCATGTGTTTCCAATAATAGTTGTTTACTACTTGCAAAAGGATTACAACACAAAAATAGTCACTAAAACAGGAATTCAAGACACAAGCAGCCAATATATTGGGGTAGCTACAATGCACATGAAAATAGGAAGGGTAACAGGCATTCAAGTCAATGACAGCCAATGTACCTGGCTAGCTACAACAAAAATAAGAATATTTGTTACGGGTGCAAAATATCTATTCAAAAGAAATGAAAGGCAACCTGAAATGGACCAACAGAACCAAAAGGATGCCGCCAGTCAAATACACACAGTTAACATAATCGTGAAAACAAAAATAGGTCGAACTTTGGCACTTCTTGCTTTGGGCTTCTGGATTACAAAAATGCTCTTCCAGTTGCTTCCAGTTTTTACTTAAACAAATGTTACAGGGTCATACAGTCATGTCTTGTTAACATGGATGCCTGCATTCACAGGAAAAATCGTCCATAATAAAAGGTCAAGAAAATAAAACAAGATCATAGATAAGAATCGTAGCGAAAAGGAAATGGGGGGTTATTTAGCCATGAAATGAGGAAATGTGGGCTTGTACTTATACTTAAACTGAATCTTACTTTCATGCCCAGAAAGTAAAGCGTGTCTGCTACTTTTGAATTGCACATACCTAATTACCTTTTGAGTTGAAAGCCCAAAAAACCCTACTACACTTTAGGTGTGCAGGTCTTATCTCGGACAGACAAGGGACAATAGTGAATTCCCGGTACATGCTCTGGCCTCTACGGTTCACTAATTGAATTTTTTTTTCAGTGTGAGGATTTACATTTATAGTAACAAAAAAAAAAAAAGGTTGTATATAGTCTGGACTGCAGGTTTCTATATTAACGGTTCCTAAAAATTTCGTCCATATTAATGGGGTCCGTATTAAAGGGCAACTCCGGCCAAAACTCAAAATGAAATAAATTACTCATATCGCTGTAGTGACACACAATACGACTCCAGCCAAAATATTATGTCTGGGGGACGCCGCATACTCAACTAATGCCGATAATAAAAATGCGACCCGCCACGAGCCGCTGCTCCGTAGCGGGCGGCCAGCGGGTTGCCGATCGCTAAAGCAACATTGGTCCATGACGTCCAGTATCGTTCTCATTTCTTCCTCCGATCCGGGCATTGCGCGGAGTGCGCTTCTTTGAGCAGCTACCACCGCTACTTCGACTTGTGATTGGAGTGTTTAGCCGTTGCTTTTATCTGTAGCCCTTGTCGCTTCGGTATAGCCTTTTGTTTATTGGCTTGTGAGGACTCCAAGACTGGTTTTAGCGACCAACTCTGTGCACCGAAGACCGAACGAGTTCACGGGTTTTCCATTCGCTAGCTTTTGGGTATACGCACTAACTGTTGCTACATATGCTGGATAACTACCAGGTATACAGAATTAAAACAAAATTAGCATATCACCCATCTTTAGACGGCTAGCGCAGCAGAGGTAGGTGCCGCTCGGCCTGCATACTCGTTGATCGAGAACGATCCTGATGTCACATTCACATAGCAGCTAGTTTCGGTTTTGTTGGCCGCACCCCAAACAAAACTTTGAGGCGTCGATATCTTTAAAACTACGCACAATAACGAGAAAAAAAATACAGCTTGCAATTCAGGGACGCTGACTGCACTAAAAACAGGCATAATCCCAAAATCGAAAGTATGGACCGGAGTTGCCCTTTAATGAGACATGACTGTAAAACAATACTTGATGCAGAACATTATTTTGTGCAACGATCAAGGCCGATTCACATAATCACAAAGTCTCTCTCGTTTCGCAATTCCTCTGCTTCGTAGAACAGGGCGAGTCTCCTCAATTGTGTCATCGTCATCTGGCAGACGGTCACTTGTGGCTTCTACGCCCTCAATTTCGAGATCTCCTGACTGAATGCAGAGGTTATGTAGCACACAGCACGACATAATAAATTTACTAGCTGTGTCAACCTCCGCAAACTCAAGGTAGGACAGCTGCATGAAGCGGCGCTTCAGTACCTGGAAGGAGTTTTCTATTGTCACCCGTGTGGCAGAGAAGTCTCTGTTAAAATCTCTCTGTTCACGGGTCATCTTGCCGTAGTCCTTAAAAGGGGTCACTAAGTACTCCCTGCTGGGGTATGCCGCATCCCCTAGAATGTGGAACTTCCCTCTCCTACAGAGAGCGGGAAGCCTTTCGGAGAGGTCCGACAGGTCGAAAACCCTGGCGTCATGGATCCGACTCGAAACCCCCGTAAAAGCATCGATGAACCGGCGCTTGTCATCACATACCCCTTGCAAGGTTAATGACAGGGCCTCGTGCCGGTTCACATACGTTGCGGGGATCTTCTCGTCTGGACAACGGAAATTGATGTACGTTCCGTCGATGCATCCGATGACGCCGGGGATTCCAGAAACCTTGCAGGAAAAATAAGAGAGCACTAGCTGTTATGAACAGACACTTACGCTGTAAAGAAAAAAACAAAACAGAAAACAGAAACAAAGGGTACACATATTTCACAACAAAAGAAGGTGCGCTGTGTCTTCTAACAGCTTCACCTTTTTTTTAACTGATCTACATAGCTCCTAGTTCCTCTTTGACTTGTGTCTATTACTTGAAGAAGAGCGTCTGCCAGAAACTCAAGATTTGGTCACATTAAATTTCTTTCGTCCGTTAATTTGAAGACGTTGGTCGGGAAGGGGAATTCTATAAAAAAAATTTGAAAATTCCTATTTATTTATTTATTGGACCACATGGGAAGGGGATGGCTAAACTTTCTCCTCTTTTTCCATGTCCTATGATTGGTGTAAAGCCTTCAAATAGGGCCTTGACCTGCAGAGGCAACATGTGGACTCGTAGACAATACACGAAACTCCTTGCTTGACATACGCAGATGGCTATTGAGATGACCAGAACATCGGGGCTCAAGGGGTGATGCTTAAAAGGGCCCGCTGTACTAGAAATGAAACTTGTTAACACCATGGCTAAAGCCGAGGTGTGGGGATTAGGGTTTGAGAAGGGGGATAGAAGGTATCTGCGAAAAGTTGTGCATGCTTGACAATCTCTCTGGGGTGCAGAAGGCATCTTGGCAGTCGTTCTGCTTCTCGATCTTGCTGCCGGTATGGGAATGGCTGGTCAACTACTGGGAGTCACCTCACACTTCCCTCGCAAGGCCACTCTTACTACCATATTGGGCTAACGTGTTTTGGCTAGGGGGGGTATGTTCGGAGGTGTTCAAGTAATGTGTCATGATCGGCATGTGGTATATCCTGAATACCTGTCTTGCCGGTGGAGAAGCGGGGGGCAGTCCCAGATAAGGTGCAAGAGATTAGCTCTGCACTTCGATCCGCAGTGACAGCAGTGAACTGGTGTGTCCGCGGCTGGGGGGTACCATTTCCTGATGATACGCGGTGTGAAGGCTGCGTCTGCAAATACTTTGTTTAAGAATACTTCTTGGGCGCGCGAGAGTCGTAGTTGAGGATCGACTTGGGGCAGAGGTGTTAGGGCCCGTTTACACTCTTGCAACCGAGTACGACCGAGAGAGACAAGACCGGTTTTTAAGCCTCTTACGACGTCTTAGAACCAGCTCCGCTGCATCGCATCCGATCCTAAGACGTCGCAAGAGGATTAAAAACCGGTCTGGTCTCTCTCGGTCTTAAGGCCCGTTCACACTCTTGCAACCGAGTACGACCGAGAGAGACCAGACCGGTTTTTAAGCCTTTTGCGACTTCTTAGGACCGGATGCGCTGCAGCGCGGAGCTGGTTTTAAGAGATCGCAAGAGGCTTAAAAACCGGTTTGGTCTCTCTCGGTCGTACTCGGTTGCAAGAGTGTGAACGGGCCTTTACTCGGTTGTATATGTGTGACAATGCTTTATTGTTGTAAGAAATTGTTTACGTTCCCTGCGGTGTTTGGCTCTGATAAAAAAGAGGTACCATCGATACGACATTCTCGATGAGTCTGTGATCCAGGCGTAGGCATTAAGTGGCGGGTTGAGGGGAGGGTAAGGGGCGACTGAGTCATTACCCCCTCGAGCTGCCGTGGCTGTGTTATGTGCCACTGCGTTCCCTCCCGTGAATCCGGTGTGTGCTGGTGTCCACTGAATACGTAGGTCAAGGCCCACTTCTTGCAAGTCGTGCACTCGTTTCCTTATGGCCTGAGCCGTGGCGTCATCCGTGTTAATCTCAATTTCTTCGAGTGCTTCCTTGGCGTTCGTTAGTATTCTTATGGAGTCGTGTTGTGATAGGGGGCCGGGGATAGAGGAAAGGGCTCCCCATATTGCCAGGAGTTCAGCCTGCCGGGCGTCCCCATAGAGGAGGTGACAACTATGGGCGCCATTTAGTTCCGGTCATGTGGGGCAGTACCAGGCCATGCCCCCCTTGCCGTCATTAAAACTGGTGTCTGTGTAGATTATCATGTGATCTTGTTCGAACTGTTAGTGCTGATTGGCAATACGAATTTGAAGGGCCCCTTGTTCTCGGAACGGTATTGCCTGTTGTCTCATTTGAATAACCGGACTGTCCCATGGGGGCTCAGACTGGGGGCCCGGTTGTCTATGTGACTCAGTTGGTCCCACGCTAAGGTGCTGCACCGTGTTTTCGAGTCTATCTGTAAGGGCTTGTTGAGCAACAGCGTACGTTGCCCTTATAGGCGGTAGAGCCACTAATTCGATGAGCCGTTCTATCCGTGTATGTTTAAGAAGCACAGTGATGGTGCGGAGAGTGTCACGATGCAGTAGCTCCACATCCTCCATATGTTTCTTCGAAAGGACGTAAATTGGAAATCCATAGAGAAGTTTGCCGACTGCGACTGCCCGGGCCAATGTCTGACAGGCCTTTTGTCGCGCACCCCAGTATTTGTTAGACATTCGTCGTATAGCATGTAGTAGTGGGTTGCATTGTTGTCCGAGTTGTCTGATCCACGTTCGCAGGCTGTTACAGCTCGCTAGTTGCACCCCGAGTATACGAAGTTGTCCATTTCCGGACGTTATGGCTTCACTTCCTATGTACAATGTGATCTAAAGTGACACTATCAATACACTTCCTATTAATCTTTGAAACATCACACTTTCTCAGTTCGTTGAGATTGCTCGCAATGACTGCCTCTTTGTACCAGACAACCACAATGAACAGGTTGTCGGACAAGATTATAATTGCGTCTTGCCATATACTTCAACGACGCAAGGTAGCAAGTCCGGAGTCGTGCCAGCATCTTGGTAACCTTTCCACGACATTATCTCACTCAATCAGAGGCCAGCTTCCCTCCCCCCCGTTAAAGCCAGTGGTTAATGTCACGGAGAACAAGTCACTATTTTATCAAAGCAAGTGCAACATGCCTGTGGGCAGAGCAGATATTGTATTCTTAACTTGCCCAACTATACCTGACATTGTTTTTTTGGTTATTTGTATAAGCAGTGATAGCACAATGCTGCCCAGTAGATGTCTTTGTCAAATATGATGTGGCATGAAGTAAGGCACTGAATTACCTACTCTAACCTACTAAAACTCGAGATTCCACAACGCTTCCCTCCTCTCCAAGTCTTCAAGCGAGGGGTAGCAAAAGGCTAGAAGGAGGGAGAGGGGGAAGGCGAAGCGCAAACTGGTCATCGGTGTTTAAACATTGCTGAAACAAGTTGTGTCTTCATTTGCCGTGCACTGAACCGGTCGTTTCGAAGAGTCCGTCTACGGAATCACATATTTCAGGGGAAGAAATAAACACGGCACTGTCCCGAGAGATGGCCTTTTTTTTCTGCTCTGATCTAAAGAGAAATGTGCATACCTCTTCGAAGTCTGAAGCAAGGCTGTCCAAGTCCGCCGGAAACTTTATGACACTTGGGGCGATGGCCAGCAGATAGTTGACCACCCGCTCCTTCATATTATGGAAGCCGCCCTCGCTGAGATTGAAGCGGCCTGCGACATCTCGGATGCAGCACTTGTTTCCTGCGAACCTGGAGCAAAGAACTTTCTTCTTACTGGTAAAAAAAACAACATATTCCGCCACAATATTTCGTATATTTTTTCAGAGTAGTGAGTTGTTAGCCTCTGGGGGGCACATTTAGTTCCATCTACTTGGCTACTTTGGGTAGGATTCTTTGAACCAACTGCCTTTTTTTTTTTTTTCTATGAGAAACGTGGTAGCGGAGCAAAAGCTACAACAGGTACAGCATCACGAGGTCCCAGCTTTCGCACAGAAGCAAACAGAAATCTATGGCCAGGCACAGTGCGAGGGGGGAGGCCCATGGGCCCCCCCACCCCCCGAAATCTTCCATTTTGCTGGGACCTCCTCTCCCCCTCATAAAGCATTTTGTCATGGGCGGCGCCCACCCCCCTCCCCCCCCCGAAACAAAATCCTGGCTACGTGCCTGTCTATGGCCGATAAAAAATTTGTGCCCACCCGCAGTATTTTTGTTTACAGGAATATATCGATAACGAAAAAGCAGAGCAGGGAAACAAGTGGGCGCAGATGGAAGGCAGTAACAGTGCCAGTCTACTTTTCATAGGATATATTATCATATTGAAAGTAGACTGCCACAGTTCCTGCATCCTATAAAAAAGTGACTGCCGCTGCTCCTGCTCTCCATTTGCGCCCCCTTGTTTCCCTGCTCTGCTTTTTCACAACAGCCGATAGGACGCCCCTATCCTTTCTCTGCCTCTCCCGGTTAAAAAAACGCTATGTTATCAAATAAAATGGTGTGATAGGCACACTGTTTGCAGTTATTACGCAAAAAGAGAAATGTTGTCAGTACCACAGAAACGACAGGATGTGCTCCTCGGCCGTCTTTTGCGGAATTCCTCCTCTGGAGAACGAGTCCGGGTAGAATGAGGACTCCTCGAAATCTGATATGAGGTCGTAGCACGCTGACCGTGGCAGCCTGAAGTTCCTCCGGAACTGCAGAAAGCGTACGACATGAAGATCGACCCCGCACGCCAAAAGGAAAAGCAAAGAATCAAATGAGACGCCTCCCAGAATTCCGGCAGAGTACGTACCTCCTCGTCCGAGTATTTGTGGACGACGTCCTCGATGTAACCGACGATCTTTGGCCGTTTAGTTGGTGGCGGAAACAACTTCTCCAACATGTAGGCGCACGCGCGGGCTTCACTTTCGTCGTCACTGCCGGAGTCGTAGCTAGAGCAGCCGCCTCGAGGAAAAGAAGTGAGCAGAGCCAAGATCCCCGCCTTCCGAGCCGCCATGTTTGTTTACCGAGACGAGGCAACACCTCGACTAGGAAGACGAAGCGAGGGAAAGAAGGGGCCGAAGGAGGCGGAGAGCGGTAGCTCAAGGCCGCGCCGGCCCGCAGTGCGCAAAGCTGCACGGTCTCCTTTCGACGGTGCAGCTGGTGCAGCAACGCGCCGGTGTCGTGCGTCGCACCAAGTCCCAAATGAACGTAGTGCAGCCGCACCGACACGACCATGTGAACGCGACGCGTCCGTCGGTGCAGCGCGGTGCGGTGTGGTGCGCCCCAATTGAATGTGACATAAAAGTGCGAACTATTGGCTTTAGATGAATTCTCGGCGGCTGCACGAGCGGTCATGCAGCAAGTGCTTCAGTCTCAAGGCAGCCAAAACCTGCTGCGTTACTAGAGGAGGTGTGGCAATCGCTCGCTTCGTCCAGCTGGAGAAAATGGCAAGGCTGTTCGGCACGCAGCGTCAGCATAAATACGCCCACAGCAGTGCCGCAACGGCACCCCGCCGCACTGTGAAAACTAAAAAAAGAAAAAAAAATGTCTTCAACGTTGATCACAATCGTGAAGTTCCTCATAATGGATCTTTCTTTGAAATACAGCACGCATACTGCTGACCTTGTTTCAAAGCATTAGCCCGCGTCTGGAAAAGTCCGTTCCCATGTTCGGAATGTTTCGAGTTTGTACAGCGGAGCTGTTAAGGGCCAGTTTCCCTAGGGTCGTGTCCTTCCTCAAATGACCTGATGACATAGGACTCTGGACAGCTACCGCCATCTATGAGCGACGGCAGCAACCAGACAACCGGCTTTCCGGTTGTCTGTTAGCCACCGTCGCTCATAGATGGCGGCCACCTTTCGAGCCTTTCCCCTTTGGCTTGCCGACTTGCAGCCGACCATTACTTCATTCCCACCATAGCACAGTTTCGCTGGTCTTCCTTTGTTCACCAGAGTGGAAAGGCTGAAGGATTTTTTGTTTTGTTTTGTTTTTTCGGAACAGCACACAAGGTCTCCCTTTTGCCTCCTGACTTTGAAGGCATACACCCAGTGTTGGAGCCTGGTGCGCAACAGTGTTTTTGTGGCTTTTTTTTAGCCATAACAGAATTGGGCACGGCACACTGAGCTCAACACAATAAAGACAGCCTGCAGTCAAGCTACGGTGGACTTGTGAAGCCCCTGGATGTACTTCCTCTTTTACCTTCTATTTCCTGTAGTGCAGGGTGGCGCTGCTATCCACTTATCGATAGAGTGCCTTCATACACACGCGCGCTTTAGCTTGAGTGGTGACATCTCAGCCATTTTCACGCCCAATCGTTTTTTTATGCATTTTGAAGTGCGCGCAATACGGTGTTACTCAGCTCGAGCGCGCAGCTTTGGGTAATGCATAGACGCCATTTTATCGCCCAAGTCACACACCGAGTGCGCGAGAGTGTCACGCGCTGGCACATTCAGTGCAACAATGGATGTCTTCACCCTGAGACAGACAGACATGTAGGCACCCTACTTATCGATAACTCTCCCCCTCGTGATAACCCACCACAGCTCCGCATGCTAAATCACTGAGTCACTTTTGCAAGCGCGCTTGTCAAGGCTGGTTCACACATTTGCAACGGTTGCGTTCGCATACAACCGAAATGACTGTAAAGACAAAGTCACCGGGTCAAGTGTTCGCCGTACACAGCATGGCAAGCGATGCAAGAGGTAGCTTCGCGAAGCCGTCCATGAGTCATGGTTTTTACGGTCTTTTGGTCTTTACGGTCGTTTCGGTTGTACATGAACGCAACCGTTGCAAATATGGGAACCAGCCTACACACCTCCCCCTTCTAGCACACCATAGTAAAGGCTACCTGCTCACGCTTGCACAGCTTTCGCAATTAGTTCATACTACGGTGAGATGAAGTATGGCAACACATAAAAATATAATAAAGACTAAATATGATGTATTTTGAACGTAGAGGTGAAAGAAGTTCAGAATAATAAGCGCATTTTCTATTGTTGATGATGCCATTGACCAGAACGAATAGAAAACCAATACGACAAGAGCGCGTCATAACCATGAATTAACATTCAGTTATGAACATGTGAACACCCAACCGATTTACGGGTGTTTCAAGGAAGAATTCGAGTGAGAATCATGAGATTTAAAACATCACAAGGGGTCACGTGCACCGATTCAGCCAGTCCTACCTCTTTAATTCTAATTCGTTATTGTTTGACGCTCTAGATGACTCTAGAACTATTTCGTCACTGAACGTTCGTGTTTGACACTGATGGACACGCCCTTTGAAGCAGCAATTGTTTTTCTTCGTCCCTTTTCAGTGCCATTTTAAATATTCAAAATATAAGCCAGCTAGATGCATCATCGACCCCATTTTTGTGGTTTGCGAAATTTTATACCCAATTACAGGAGCTGTCAAAAAAAAAAAGATGTAAAAAGAAAAAGAAGACATTTCTCAAGACATGAAAGACGAGGACGATTTCCGCAACCTTTTTCAAGATGAAGTTTTCCTGGCAAACAACACGCTTATACACATAAGAGCTGCAAGGTATGGACGTAAAATCGATATACTGCAAACACGCTGTGGAGAGGACATTCAGTGCCCCAGTGAAATCTTGTTGAGGTGACCCGGGATGGTGATACTGAGGCGGCCACCATGATTGTACGCAGAGAGGAACGCTACAAACATAGGCTATAAACCATGAACGCTCTTAATATTTTAAAGAAGCAACGACTAGAAGACTCGCATCACTACCATCCGATCTAGTCGACCGACATGCTGCGTTCCGAATCGGACGACTCCACCGACTCACGGCCGGACCACGAGGCAGAAGCCAGGAGCTCAAGGATTGAGTTCTTCTGCAGAGACGTCAAATGGCCCGTCCGACGTCCCAAGAGGCCGGCACTCTCGACGTCACCACCTTTCAAGACGCATCGCCGCCCCAGCCGCACGAGAGATGCTCCAAGTTCGCAAGAGTATCTCTCGGCCCACAGCACCACTGGTGAGTGGTCACCAGAAACTGGGAGCCCACCATTGCTTGAAACAAGCCCTTCCACACTATCTCGCCTTACCGAGACACCCCCGACAAGCGCGCCTAAATTTGGTTACAGACTTTCGCCCGGAGCATCCCTCGTGGCTCAGGGACCTTCACGGGACTTACAGCAAGTGGCACTCTCGCTGACGGAGTTTTCTGATAGCACTTTACCACAAACTTTCTACCAAGAACAAACACCAAGGTCGCCATATATCGGAGGGCCGTTGCGACAGCGAGCACAACGCAAATCATTCCCTGCAGACATAGTTCCTAGCCATCAGTTATCCTTCTTCCAAGGCAGAGACAGGTCACAGATGCGCGTGCCCTTCGGTTTGTCCGGTGAGCGGAAGGCAGACAGCCGGAGTGATCCGAACTCTAACCTGCCGCAGCTTCTCAGGATAGGGAAGTCGATATCGGAAGGTAACTTGCTCTATGTACGACCGGAGAAACGAAAGCGTCGTCGGAAGACGAGAGATTCTCTTCCGTTGGCACTATCTCGCGAAGACCCGACGGTCCGAAGGCGTACGACCGAGCCGCTTGCTACTCTCAAGAAGGTGCCGGAGCCTATGACGACAGACGACACACCACCAACGTCATTTATGGTTGAGTACCACGAGCTCGTGGCAGTCGAGCTAGCTGAACGTGAACTCTCTCCGGCGAGAAATTTCGGCATTGCACCAAGAAGCCCAACCGCTAGTCGTGCGCCCTCTCTAACATCAGACGCCAATACCCGCTTAGTCGAGGCGGATGATGGGCTGATCAACGAAAAGCCTACGCCGGAGACAAGTCTCCTGAGGTGGCCTCTGCCTACGCAGCGCAGTAAAAAGACATATGATGCCGCACCCATTCCACAGCCGAGGCGAATTTCCATGGCTACATCCCGAGGGGACAGGACGGCGCGGAGCGACACCTGCATGACTCATGCCTGTAGGACGCCCCCTGAATCGAAGAATGAAACTTCGTTTTTCGGCCATTGGAAGAAGGTATTCGATACGCGAGGCCTGGAGACTGCGGCGGACGATCCAAGCAGTAAAGAGGAAGTTACCGCAAGTATGAGTCAGGGCATCGGGACTTCCGTTCCCGTATTTAGGGATGGTTTTCCACACGTCATTTCAGCCAGTGAAACGGAGCGTGAGCCGAAGGCAATAAACGAGGAGCACATGGTGATTTCAATCGTGCCTTCACACACAGCAGGGACAGACCTACTGACGGAAAATTTTGAGGGTAATTACCGAACAAAGAAAAGGGGGACAGTGAAGGAAATGAACAGTTCACGCCGGTCATTCAACACAAGACATTTGGATGCAGATCGACTAGTTAAGCAGACGACATCCGTCAATAATCTCCTACATAAAAAGAAGAAATTAACAGCAACATTTATTGAAGATGTGATTAGTGGCAGTACTGCTGCCACAGAACTAGAAAGTGAAAACAAGAAAAAGGATGGCCATGTCGAATTTGGAGATACTGCAGGAAGCTTCCTTTCAGGTCAGCCCCGTCGAAGGAGCACCTACACTGGCATGCACGATTTTGATATATCTTGTATAATAGCCAAAAAAGAGAAAACCCCCGTGAAAAATCAAAACATTCCTACATTCCCAGATGCCGAAAGAAAACCTAGAATTGAGGAGGTGCGATCTGGATGGGAAATGGCAGGTGCCTCCCACCCTTCACCACGGTCTGTTGTGCACACGTATTTGAAGTCACACCACGAGAACTGGTCTTCGAACTCAGAAAGACGCGGCCGTGATTCTTTATCATCGAGCATGACAACTAAAGGAAATGATTATTATAAAGGTTACTTGCATGCCGGCAAGGTTTTACCATCTTCGACGTCTACAATGCCTCCAAAGCATGAGAAGCTGGTAACAGCGTTGCCGAAGGTTGATGAACGTTTCGAATCTCGGAATGTGACACATGGTGGTGAACTTATAGAAAAAGTGCCAGTAGAGTGGGAAGTCTCTCCACAAATGGAACAACCTGGTATGGTTTACAAAGGTGTTGATAATCAAAATATGCTTGAAAAGGATAATGGTTTCGATCAGTTGGCCAGTGTCCATAGCTTGGGAAAGCCTGTGAAACCCCCTCGAACGTCTCTGGACATGCCGACGAAAGGCGGTGTTCCTGACGAATTGAAGCAGGATCAGAAAACAATTATTGCTATCGTAGAACGCAAGACACTTCCGGAAAGTGAGGAAGAGGAAGAAGAGACGGCGCTGCATGTCGAGTATCCGCCAGAAGGAACACCTTATGCACGAACGCCGTCACCCCCTGCTTCTTTAAAAGGGGCACCAGGTTCCACGGTAACCAAAGGCAAGGATGAAGGGAAAGCGTTGGAAGACGGGAAGTGGCCGTCGGGTGCCGTTTCATCCACTGCGGGAGAAGCAGTGCCTGAGTCTCTAACAGTCTTACAAGGCGTGCAAGTGAGTGGCGAAAGTACAGTCGGGCCAGCAGCAACACCAGAAATTAAGTCTTCAAAAAAGCAATCAAATTTAAGTTTACAAAAGACGGCAATATTGTCTAAGAGTCAGAGGACGCCAGAAGAACCATCTAAACCGTTTGAAAAAGGCAAAGGACAAAAATCTGAACTGAAGTCTGCAGCATCCGCAAGCAAAGTTATTTCCACGCTGGGGAAAGCCGCGAATTTTTTCAAATCAAAATTTAAAGATGAAAAGTCGAAGAGCGGAGAAGGTTTCAAAGTTGTGCCCCCGACAACCAAGGTAGAACTGGAATCAGAGATGAAAAAACCTGAAAGCGTTAAGGAATTAGCGCTAAGGGATGTGGAGGTGGTGGGTGCTGAGAACGTAAGGGCCGAGTGGGTTGGAGAGGATGAAAAACCCATATCAGAAAAGGACGTCCGGCCTTTCAATGAACAAGCCTTAGTACTTATATCGGATGCAGAGAGGCAAGAGAAGGAAGCCATGTCACCACCAAAACACGAGTCTGAGATGCAGGCTAAACCATCACCACAGCCACCGATACCATTGCACACGAAACATGGGGTGTCGGTTAAAGTAAGCTTTGTCAAACCCAAGGGAAACGAGGCGTATTACATAACAATGATTAAAATAAGAACTATACCCTTACTGGTCCTGCTTGGAAACATCGTGGTGCTCATCATTTTGTTGATAGGGTCGTATTTTGACCTTTTCTGGTGGTTCTATATCGAACCCGCAGTCTTGACAGAGTCTCCATCAACGAAGAAAGGCCTTGGTCTAGTCTGTAGGAGCATTCGTTGTGGTCTCGCTGGTACTACTCTTTACTATGCTCTCAACCACAATGTGGAGCCGTGCGACAGCATGTTTGAATTTGTCTGCAAGCGCTGGATACACGAACCGAGCGCTAGGTATCAAAAAGTTATCCTCGGAGCCGACAAGCATTTCATGGAAGAGACATACAAAGAAATGCGAGACATTGTCCAGAGCCCCCACATTTTTTCACGCGGAAGTACCGCTTTCATTAAGGTGGCCAAACTTTACAAAGGTTGTCAGAACAAAAACAATGCCGATTTTCAGCATCTGAGGAAACTGAAGCAGGACTATGGGTTAGATGGATGGCCGTTTTTTATGAACTTCAGCGGTGATGCAGAGAGCGTGCTAGCCAGATTCATCGGAGACACCGGCTCTGGTACGCTAATCTCAGTAAGAATTATTCCAGATCCCGAATCTTCAATTCAACCCAGCCAGAAGTTGATTGCCTTGGAGTGCTCTACATTTAGAATACCGATCGACACACTTCTGAAGTACAGGGAAAGTCAAAAAGAAATCATAAAAGCGTACAAAATCCTAATTTCGCACAGTGCCGAAGATTTTCGCAACGCGGGCAGAGAAATAATGGTGGACCAGATTTTTAAATTTGAAGTGAATCTTGCGAACAGGTGCAATAAGGATTGCCGGCAGATGCCCCTTAAAAAGATAAAAGTTCGAGACCTTTCTGATCCAGGAACTCAGTCAAGCAAAATGAACTGGGACAAATTTCTTGGAATTGTCCTGAGTCATACCGCACATTCAATTTCACCAGAAACCGAAATATTAGTTAGGTCTGTGCCCTACTTAAAGAAATTGGGCGCATTACTTCACAACCAAACTACGAAAGTCAGACTGATGAACTATGTGGGCTGGCGGTTTATGGCAAAATTTGCTCGACACGCTAGCGCCAGATTCGAACAGCACTTTGAAAAATTTCAGACCACAGCCATCGGCCAAGAGGAACTTCCGAATTGGAAGAGGTGCTTACTGGACACCGCTGAAGTGATGCCGTTTGCAGTGGGCCGACTTTATGCGGAACTCAAGCAGTGGGAAGCAACCGATTTTAAAGTACACGAGTTGGTGCTGAATCTTATATCAAGCCTAGATCATATGCTCCAGGAGTTTAACTGGGTGCAAGGCGTGACCAAGCAAAAGGCCAAGACCATTCTCTCGAGCGCAAACATAGCTGTTGGCTACCCGCAATGGATACTGGACAACAAAGCGCTGGACCAGTATTATGAAAAAATTCCTATAAACGGCGTTTACCTGAGTCTTTACGAACATGCCCTTAGAAACCGATTCATTCATCAGCTCAACATAAGTAATTCTTACAGCAGGATACCAACGAAAATGGCGCACTTCATCTTTCCAACCAAGATGGTCGAACTTCACCAGAGATCGGGGCTTCTACGGGAAACCTTGTTCTACGACATCCGGGAAAACACATTCGTCATACCTTCGGGGGTCTTCAGCGCCCCTTATTACAACCCGGACTTGACATGGTCCATGAACTACGGAGGGCTCGGCACTCTGGTGGCTCGGGACATCATCAGAGAGTTTTTCCACGCTGTGGACGCCCGATGGATGACAGAAACTGATCGGCACGTCTATAGAAATGGTTCGCAGTGCGTGCTGCGAGCCATCGGTAAAAGAAGTCAGAGGATGCCGGAGGAGGCATTGCTGCACTGTTCCAGCCTCGTGAGAAGTCTACTTTCGCTACGGCTAACGTATAATGCATACCACCTGCACTTGGGCGTCCAGGACGAAGCGACGCTGCCAGGACTCGAAGATATGAGTCCCGACCAGGTGTTCTTCGTGGCGGCTTTCCGGACGCTGTGCACACAAATCCGGGAGCTGCACTTCGTGCCCGTGGTGCATCTCAACGGTACCGTCACCGAACTGGACTATTTGGACGGCCTAATGCGAGGCATGAACGAGTTCACGGACGCCTTCAGCTGCAACAAACTCCGAGATATGCCCAACGTGGTCCAGCAGTGCTTGGCACCGAGTTCACCGGCCGCAAAGTTGAGGGCGAGAAAACGAACCTTGTGGCATCCGCCAGCCATGCACTTCACGACGCCGGACAACCCCGTGTTGACGACCGAAAGGCGAACCGCTTACAAAAGGAATAGGACCGTGTTTAAACGTCCTTATCACCATATTCGCCCGTGAGCCAGAATGTCTTTTTTTTTTTGTTCAAGTGCGTGGTGCTATGGTGGCTGTTGTGGTAGTAGTGCTTCTTGTACAGTTGTAAATATTGTTTTAACTGGCTTGTGTTTTTACTTCGAACAAAAATAACTTCCGAAAGTCGTCACAATACCATTGTATGCACATAAACCCTCCTTTCTTTATTTTAAACGCCGGGGCTCATTGTGGTGTACACGAATTATTTGAGCGAATCTGCATGTATACACTAAGCCTGTATGACAGCCATTGCTATTATGGTTTGACCGATGATAACTAAGGTAAACTAAAACGATTAATCAAAAACTTGAGCTTGTCTTGCTTTATATTTTAGTCGGTAGTATTTTTTAATAATATCCAGACTCGAGAGACGCTTTTCTTTGATGAGGAGTTCACCCGCTATGGAGTTGTGCTCCTGAGACGGGTGGGGAAGGGTTGGAAAGGGTGAGGGAGTAAGGGGGATATCATGATGATGGTAGTGACGTCTTATATGAGACTATGTCCACCCGACTCCCTGATGTACTGCATCAAGAAGTCGAGGATGGCTTTCCTGTACTGAGGGGTACCCGTTGGATTGGTCCACTCCTCGAGCGTCGTAGGCTCGTCTACGCCCTGGATCTTGTCCAGAGCATCATTTCTATGATGCTCGAGGCCCTTACAGGCCCAGAGTAGATGCTGCAATTTTGCCTCGGCTCCTTCCAAGCACCTCGTGCAGGTTGGGTTCATATCTTCTTTCAGGCTAAAGAATACTAGTTTGGATGGTGTAAGTACAGTATTCGTCCTTATTCTTCGAATCCTGATGGTTTCCCACCGACTGTATCCTGCCAGTATGTTGCTGTTTGTCGGAGGAAGCTGGCCGCGGAGGTGGGCCTTTCTGTCCAGTTTGGCGCCTTCGTCTTCTCCCAAGAGGTTGAGCCTGGCGCGGAGTGAGTGCTACAGGCTGTTTGCGCTGTAGAGTTTTGCGCTGCGGCTCGGTGTGCCCTCTCGTTCCCGAGAATGCCACTGTGTCCGGGTAGCCACTCGATTGTAAGTATGGAGCCCCTTGTGCGGAGCTCCACTGACACTTTCTTTATCTGCTTTACCGTGCAACTCTTTGTTCTGCTGCATCGGCACGGACGTATTGATTCTAGCGAGTGCATAAAAATTCGTTCCAAGGCTGCCAAATTCTCCATAGCACCATTTATTTTCTTCTTCTTCGTTCCTTGCCTGGCTGGACCTGTTTCTTGAGCACGTCTTTCACTGCCGTCAAGATAGCCCTCAGTTCCGCCTCTCTGATAGAAGCCCCCTCGGAAAGTATATCGGTGCTCTCTTCATTCTTTCGTGGATCGTACCACGACGTAGTCGTGGCGTTCTCCGTCTTGACGGCGTCCGTGTACCGCAACTCATCTTCTGTCGCGTGCGTTTCGCACCAGCTTGCGCTTGATATTTTTTTTAATGTTTAATTCGGAGCATTCAGAGCGTAGCTTAAGACGTACTTCCTTTAGGCTAAGTTAAATACAACCGGAAAAGCTTGCTTTGCAATATCTTATATTTGCTGCCTCTAGGAGTCTCAATCCGTGACTTGCTGGAACTTCTAAAATAAAAGAAAAAATTAATACAAAATAATAACGTGTTTTTTACGATATATGAAATAGATTATAGTGCCCGTAATATACGAATTTGGAATTGTTTATAAGATTGCAGGACTGACTCAAAGCAAACCCAGCAAAATGGACATTTTTTTTTTTTAGTTCCTGGAGTTCGCAAACACATTGAAAACTTCAGGTATCTCTTATTTTTGTTTATGACGTCATTGAAATTGACCAGTGGGGAGTATTCATTCGCGACCTCAGCTTTGTTGGTTCTGTGCTTCGCGGTGAAAGGGAAGCTGAAGAGGTTCTTGAAAAAAGAAGTGGGATGTGGATTGAAATATAATATATATAAAATATAAAAAAATATTGAAATCCCGGGAATCTAAATATCATGTTCGTTTTCCCCGAAGATGTAACTAAACACGAAATAACACGGAAAACCCCCAACCGGTCGTGACGTCATAAAAGGATCTTTCGGCTACCAAGGGCGTGTCTCTCGAGTGCACAGCGCGTGCAATTGCGAGCTTACCAGGTACTGTAAAACCCTTAATTTTCGCGGACCCTATTTTTCGCGGATCGGTCACAGAGGACATAATCGCGGCAAGTAAATTTCGCGAATTCCAGACGCCTGCATCGAAACTCTTAACGACCGGAATTTTCGCTTGCTCTTAAACTCGCGAATATTTCAGTTCGCGAAATTCACCAAAAAATTAAGGGCTCGCGAAAATTAAGGGTTTTACAGTACGATTCGCTGCACGGACGGCAGTATTCTAGTAGTGTTGACGATTGGGCTAGTTGGTCATTCATATTAGCGGAAAACAAACAGCGCAAGGACAAGGACAGAGTAGAAGGCGGTAGACACACACTGCGCCAGCGCTGTGTGTGTCTACCGCCTTCTACTCTGTCCTTGTCCTTCGCTGTTTGTTTTCCGCTAGTATTCTAGTAGTTGACGGCAGCGACAAGGAGAAGAAGAGAAGGATTAACACCCAGCCAAAGAAGTCACCCGTGAAGAAGCGACCGAGCTGGCCGCGAAACGTCGGGCTGTTTAAACACAGTTCGTTAGAGCACCTTCAGGTTCCTTTATTAATTTGCACTGACAGTCTCACACCAGTCGCGACGTCTTTTTCTGACCTTTTTGAAAACAGCAAGAGTGCGCGTGCACAACTTTGATAGACGCTGACGTTGCGCGAGAGTGGGGATTCCGAAAACTTTTTTATGACCAAAACGCTTCAAGAATGAGGGGCTTCAGCGGTACTTTAAAAATGATCGTCTGCAGCCTGCGTGCACCGGATTAAAAAATAATCACGATATTCGCAATCCTGGAAGCCAAATGAAGCCGATTTCAGTGTTTCTACTCAAATACAGAACCGCTTCAGTTGCCCTACGTTCGCCAGATACTTTTCGCACTGCAAAGCTTCTTTTTAAGGCAAGCAGTAGGTTGTTTTATCCACAGCTCGCGCTGACGGCACGGGCGTGCAGTCCTCGCGAGTGATGGTCGTGGAAAAGTGTTTCGTTCCATTTTGAGAATGAAGGCGACCCACAGATCCACACGAGGTGGAAACGAACGCGCAGTTCCCACACCGGGCGTGAGCAAAAGCGCATTTCCCGCACGAAGTGCGGGTTCTGTGCGTGACCAGGAACCAGATTCGGCGTGAGTAGACCGCGCAGGCGCCCGCCAGCAGAGTCAGGGCCCGCTTTTGTAGCCTGCCTTGTAACTTGGCAAATGATGAACCATAAGCCCCACGTTGCGTGCCGACGGCTTCGATATTCGCTGCGTTTACGAGCGCAACGCACACATATTGAAGCATGACGCAGCAAAATGTCTGATACTTCGTTGCGGAAAAACCGCACTCCGGTGATACATGGACACGTTCCGGTTGGCCCGCCAGGGCCGTAGCTTCCGCCATACTGGCATGTTGTGCGATCACGGCTTCCTGGTCTACCCAGCATTTTTTCGCTTCAGACACTGGCTAAGCGGCGTCACCGCTTAGCCTAGTTAATAGCTCACGTTTGAACAATGGAGCCGCCACCCCCAGGGATACACAATGTTTCTTGCTTCAGTCGCTAGGTAGAGCCAAACCAAACACCACTGCAGGTTGCCTATAGCTAGAGTTGCGCGTCTGTTTTCCACGTGCCACCGCGCAGGTTGGCACGTGCCACTGCAGGTTGCCTATTGGCGACGAGATGTTTTGGTGGCGCCACCTCGTGGATTGTTTCCTGTGACGCAGCTGGTAGGATGCGAGCAGACGACACGCTATGTCAAAGCCCGGAGCGGCTATGTTACTTCACATCTATGCCGATTAAAAACGGTTGATATATTAAAGAAACGCGTATAGCGTTTTGTGAGTGGTCTTTGTAACGAATAACAGCGCCTCGAATTGGCTTTTTATATTACAAAAAAAAAATTTAAAACGTTCAAGAACAAGCCTGGAGCTCCACATTAAAGCGTGCGCGGCGTGCGTCAGGGCTATTCAAAGACACTCTGATTCCTGTTTTTTCGCATCTGTGGAGGCTTCTGTAGAAAATGGTTTTGCATTCACCAGAGTAAATTTCGTGCCGTCTTCTTAGCTGTGCTCGCGCGAACAGTTGTGTTGCAAAGCGCTGCAGACTGGCCTTAGCTACATTGAGCTTACCGATACCGATGCTTTTGTCCAAGCGTGACTTGACAGTAGCTGACGAGCAAATGCTCGTCAGCAACTGACGCTTAGGCCCTCTCGCATCGAATACGTGGCAAAGAAGTTTGTCACATCGCGACTTCTGCTCGAAAGAAAAGCAGAAATTTCATAAATTCTTAAATTGTCGGACAGAGCCCCGAAAATTCAGGCGATTGATTAATTTGTTCTATCCAATTTTTACTAAGAATTGTTTACAAATGCAAAATCGCTCTCTGAGAAGCGCATCACGCATTATGCACATCTGGGTTCGCAAAATTAAACATACAAACGATAGTAATTCATAGCAGGTGTATACCTGATTTTTTTGGGACGCTGAAGTGCCATCGACTTACTAGATTTAGGACTTCGATCGCGAGGAGGTCTCGCGCGTTTCGCGTCAACCGAGTGAATTAGCAGGGATTAAGTTGAAACGATTCCGGAAGCCCAGCCATCGCTTTTTCCCCCCAGTTATTTTGAGGGAGTGTTTGTTTACTGGTTTACGAAATTCCAAAAGGAATCACAATTTGGAACTATTAAGAGACCAGCAGTATAGAGGAGGCTATGGCAGAACCCATTGAAACCGACCGGATACACGGAGTCGCTTTCACTGAAGTGTTTACCAAACACGCGAGAGGTTTTCGAATTTCGCTTCCCTACTTTCAATTTAATGAGACATTCCTTCCTTAAGTTTTATGTTGTCCGAGTCATAATTTAAGGAAACACAGATTATTCGCCGGGGTAGATGTTGTAGTGGGGTGAAGCG